TACACTTTTTTAATTAATGTTAATTGTTTCTAATTATAAGGCGATTATAAGCATCAAACTAAAACATTCATGCACGAAGATTCAAAGATGACAGATAATGATTACACGACTGGTTTTTGATACGAGCGTTTCCGCTCGTTGATTTAAGAGGCCGGCTAGCAGGCATTTCTCCAAGCAACATGGTCGAGTGATCCAGTGCTCTATTTATGAGTGCGTAAAATACTCTTGATCTGTTGGGTCGCTTAATTTATATCGCCAGGCATGCCGTGGATTAATGAGAAATTTTATTATGACAGACTCTCGAGACAAATCGTACAAACAACGCGTTCGTTATCTGTTATCCTTCAATTTACGAACAACCATGAAAATTAAATCTGCATTATATGTTAATATTTTTACAATTATGAAACATTTTAAAAACACAGCTCCAAACAAACAATAAAGACTTATGAAAAAGTTATTGACATTATCACAGTTTGCTATCCTCAAGTTATGCAAGATTATCTTAAATCACTAAGGCTATTTACTGAAAATATATTTATTTCTTATAAAATAACGTATATTTTTTAGCCAAGTGATATTTCGATGTAAGCTATCAAAAATTGAAAATATTAGCTTTTTCAATATGTAGAATAGTGTACTTAAAATATTGAAGCTATTGCACAGTATTATATTCCGTTATGTCTCGTATCGGTAAAGTATACTAGCTTACAGCTCTATATAGCGAATCTGGTGCCTCCAGATTGCATCATCGTTGTGGTATATGGGTCGTTAGTCGATGCGCATAATCTTCGATCGCAATCGTGGCTGGTGGGCCGATTATACCTGACTTGGCGTATCGATCCCACTGGTCGATACGGATATCGAATTCGAATCTTGGGATGATCCTTCCCGGCACAGACGGCTGCGAGATAGAACCGGAGGCACAATTGCGAGCAACCCAGTTTCGGGAATGAATGGCAAATGAGCGCCGGAGTTCTCAGTGAACATGCTCTGCGGGAGAAGTCTTAACCTTTCGGCCCTAAAAATGATCGTATAACTGCCCGACGGATTACATCAAATTCAAGGAGTTATGAAAATGACTGTCTATGGAATTAGACTGCCTATAAACGTGACTATCTATGGAAAGGCCCGTGTAACTCGCCATTCTTATAAAGATATGTAGAATAGACATTTTGAATTGAGCAGATTTATATAGCTTATACTTATGGAATTGAAAATAGAATTATAAATTTATGGATGATAGCATGAATATCTAACATGACACAAATATCTATCAATAGTATAAACCTCAATATCAATTTATATTGTACTGAATTATACAAGAATTATAATCCGAGATCCACAGAAGCGATAACTCCTCACATTGAAGGTTTATGCAATTGAGAGTTTACGAAATAAAGACTAAGAAGTATCAAGAATTGGAAACAAGTTACACGAATAAACAAAGTGTAACAAAGAGAGAAATAACGACTTATTATAGTAAAAAAAATTTTTTTTTAAATAAATTAACATATATGTTATTTTTAAGCAATCGCACAAATGTTAGCTTTTTATAAATATTTCCAATAAGCAATATTGCTTTTTTCATTTTCATATTCACCAGTATCTTTCATCATTCTAATACGTTATGATGACATGGCTGCTCGTATTTAATCAATTAACGATGACGTGTTGACGAAGTGTACTTTTTACTTCTTTCGTTTCTTGCAACGCCGTGAGTCATTCATTACGACTGGCAGCACATCGAGGATCTCTCGAACGTTTCCATCGAGCTTTCTTATCGTCGCCAGAACTTAGTGATGGCGTTAAATTTAACGAGCCCAATAATTAAATTAAAAATGAGGAGTTCGAAAGTGGCTCAGATCGTATAACACACAACTCCTTCATGGCTCTCGTTGAAGTATAAATTGCTCGATCGATATAATTCGAGCATCGTAAAAACTGATAGCTCATTTCTCCGGCGTGTAATAACTATCATAATAAATGGAAATGTTAGACTGGCTGCCATTTTCCTTGAAAAAGGGAGATTCTATCGCAACGTACCTATAAATGATATCCCTTTCTGTTTCTTTCTTATGATTCCTCTCTCTTTCTTTCTTTCCCTCCTCATGCAGTTATTTTGTTATGGCGCAATAATGCATCATCTCGGCTGGAAGGGCTTAACTTTATGATACAGCCATTGCATTTTTATTTGCCAAGAATAATCACCTCACTAATTTTTTATGAGTCTTCATAAGACAGCTAGTGGCAGCTGTTAAGCAATATATATCCAGAAATTCATACAATATAAAGAATGTTGCATTAAAAAATTTTTATTTTTTAAACAGTATATAATAAAAAAAATATATATATATAGTAACTGTATATTATCGATAATTACTCTGCGAATGCAATAAATGCAATTTTTACGGAACGAAGCATTGTAAACGAAATAGTTGAGGTCTATCGATTATTGTACTAAGCTATTAATTGCGTATCGCAATTAAAAAAAAAAAGCTTAATTGAGTGCACTTTTTTTCAAAAAATCTCTATGATATTGAAATAATCTGAGAGAATATTTTAAATGTACACAGCAAAAATATGAAAGCTTGCGCACGTGTTCAGCCACGATAACATTTATTTACTTGAAAATTGTGTACAACTCGCACGTATTCTGTTTCAATTGTATAATTGCTAAAACATTCGCTTGCAATGAATTTTATCCCGCAGCAAACTCCACACAATTAAATTTGACATAAATCGATTTTATTACAACGAGCGTAGATAATCGCACGTATGGCGTATATCGCACTACTATGCAGTTATGCACTGGTGCTTCTCAGTTCTTATCTATTTATGAAGATCTCGCGTATTTGTCGCGAACACGTAGCCGTGCAGTCATCGATTCATTGCGCAGAAAATCTCATTGCATTCATTCGAATGAATACACCGAAATGATTTTCATGTTCACACAAGCGGTTGGTCATACGATAAATCTACTTTTCCAAACTCGATTTCCATGCGTTTCTCTCATAAATATCGTTTATAAAAAAAACATCGTCTGTTTCAATGGCTTTTTGCTATATAATAATAAGCACTCTATTATCGTGATATTTCTGTCATTACAGAAGTGCGTATTAGAATTTTAATGACTGCCTTTTTTAAGTAATATATTTTTTGATTTTTATTAATTATTTATATCAAATTTTGTTGATAATTGAACGTCAAATTATATTAATGCCTATCTAATACTGATTTTAGTTGAAAAACAGAAAAATGTTCAGCTAATGTAGCACTAAAGAGCATAAGCCAGAAATACTAAAAGAATATGTATTTTATGATGATTTTAAAGATAGCTATTTTTTATTAATAAATTATATTTTAAAATTATTTCTAATAAATGTATGAAAAATTAATATAACTGATTACAAAAATGTAGAAATTTTTTATGAGATAAAGTTATAATTGCGCAATGAAATCGTGTCATTCATTAACTCTAAGTAATTACTAATAAAACATGTTTATGATTTAACTGTCAAAATATTTAAAAGAGTTAAAAGATAAAATTTAAAAAAAATAATAGTTAAGAATGTTATTTAAAAAAGATCTATTTCAAGCTAGTATATTTTTAAAGAATCAGTAAATATATAATGGTAAATTGTTGTACACAACCGGAAAAAGCACGCTGTATCGATATACATAGATATGTTTGTACCGACGCCGCGACAGTACAACGTTCTGTAAAACATTCCGGCGAATTCCAGCATTATATCGCGTTCGATTTTCGGTCTCGCGCACGAAATAGGAAAGAATCCTTAGGATAAGACCGAGCGAATTGCGTTCGTACTCATCTCTACGTAAGTACAACGAGAGCGAACCGCAAACCACGGAATACGGCTTCCTGTCGTTGCATTTTTCAAAAAGCGCGGAACGAACTTTGCACCCGAACTCGCTCTCTACACGCAGAAAATTTTTCTCGAATAATGTAGAATACTCATAATAAAATTTACTAGATTTGCTAGGTTCCTGTAAGATATACGCGTATTCAACCGGAAATTAATATATGACAATAGAAATGTAATAGTTTGATCAGACACATCTTGTAACCTAAAGGTAAATAAATTTGCCATACTAACAAGGAAATATGAGAACAGTAAAAAAAGTCCCATACTAGTATGTGTATATTCGACGTTGTAGCTTGAATTGCCAACTTCACATGTCTCGGATTGAGCGTTGTTTTTTAAGACAGTATAGGAAAAATATAATCTAGAATGGTAACTATTGTGAACTGTATAGAAATATTCGTTGCGTATCTGGCAATAGTTTATGTTCTTTATAGAAATGCGATAGTAACCGCGATCGTGGACGACGGAAGGCGCGCGGCGCGAGCGGCAACGTGGGCTCGCGCGGCGAGAGGATTCGGCTCGCGCCCGCTACGCGGCGCATCGCCGGTACATTCTCGCGTGATTAAGATTCAACATCGACCTTTATATCTAGGGCAGCTCGGCAGGGTCCCTATAGCGTTCTTAAGTTCGCACGTGGCGGACAGCTGACCGCCACAGCCTATAACGGCAACTTATTCAACTTATGTTTTTTGACATGACTGCAACAAACGTCTCGTTTTTTGTTCATCAGCGATATTCGGGATAAGACACAATCGAACAAAATATAATTGAATCATTCGTCTTTAAATTAATGTAGTAAAACGCGCTCTCGAAAGTCCCATACTTGATGGAAATATTTACTTCTGCGTATAGTTTTATTTTTTGCTCTCTAAATTTTCCTATACTTTCTTGAAATCTTTTGCATATTATGACTATATCCTAGCCGTGCAAGATTAGTATGGTATTTACTTTGTTCGTGTATACTTGTATTTACGAGAAAAATTTTCTGCGTGTAACGTCGACGCGATATCGGCAGTCTTATCAATAATAAATGTAACTTTTATCACATGCGCCCGCGCGGACGCTTGCGAAGTGCGGGAACGCAAACTATATCGTTGATTCTTTTATTTTCAGATGCGCCATCCGATCCAAATGAAGCCGGCCGACAGCGAGAACCGGAATGGTGAGTGAAAATTTTAATTATTTCTCCGAGACGCGCTAAGATTGCGAATTAAAACTTGAATATCGCAATGCTTTCAGACCGTATTGTAAGTGAATTAATATCGAATTAATTTTTAAGCAAACCAAAGTATTGTTTTCATGAGAAGAAAAAATTTGTACTCTTGTTGCTTACATTAAGCGATTGGTAAAAATTAAAATAATAGTAACTTGTTTTATTAATCGATCTATTAAAGCAAAGAATTAGCTGGTATGTATAGGTACAGCTTAGCTACTACAGCAGCAAAAGCATGTAATTTTAGTAAGCAATCGAGAGATGTGGTAGCGTTTTATATCAGATATATTTTTCGTAAAGTAATCCAATCCATGTTTTCTTATAAACAAACTAAATCTGAATCTTTTTCGTATGAACCGAATTTTAGTTTTAATAAAAGATACTAAATCTTTTATAAAAATATAATGAGATTTTGAGCGTCTTATTTAATGATTGCTCGATCGCTTCGAAGCTCTGGCACGATTAAGGAATGCCGAGCAACGGCGGTATAACCGAAGGAGAAGACAACAATAACGGTCGCGAAGGTAAAGTTAACTCTCTTCGCTCGGCGGAGAATGCAGCTCAAAGCGCGTTCATTAGATGCTAATTAATTGGTTGAATTGAGGGGCTTGTCGAGATTGCGTAGTCAAAGAAGACATAAGCGAGCTGCGAAGCACCAAGCGGTAGGACGATAAGGTAGGCCAGGAAAGTCGTGAGAGGATGGGCAGAGACGAACAAATTTTGCAACATACAGTTACCAGGACGACGAAAGGGTCGTCTTGCACGCGAATTCTTACATGGCACGTTCCTTTCCTTTTTATAATATCTTCTTGATCTTTTTAAATTCTCCACTTTCATTAGTGAATTCACTCGGACAATATTGCGTCGTTCGTACACCACGATAAATTGCAGACATCACCTGGTGGCAGAAAACACCAGATATTATTCTAGGTATTGCGTAGATATTGTATATAAACGTTCCATTCAGAGAGTAATTATATTTTAATACAAAAGTATATAACAGAAAAGTACTAGGTACAAAAGATAATAATTAGTAATACTAGAGTATTAGTATAGAGTACTAGAATAATAGATTAGAGAGAAGACTAAAGGTTGATGAACTGACTCTTTTCCTCATTCCATTATAAAATCCATATTTTATAAATTAAAAATTGTTTCGCTATAGATATACATTTAAATATAAATATGTACTATGAGAAATTATAAATAAAGTGTCAAATCATAATTTAATGCTTATATTCTTAATAACGCTTATCAAAAGTAAATGAATGTGATTGCAAAGATGGGAGAAAGATAATCACCCCTCGTGATGCATGAATATTATTCATGTAGAAGATTTTACTTCGAGTTTTCTAATTTCTTCCATCGCGCATCGATCGGGAAAGGGCCATGTAAAAATTCGAGAACGTCGAAAAGCGCATCGGGGGATCGTATCGCGAAAACCAACAGGAGAGTCAACGAACGCGGCAAAACGCGCGATTTTTTTACGGATAACTGCGCCGCGTTAGCAATAAAAATTCGACTACCGGCTGGACGGGGGTGTAACGTAAAGCGTATATAAAACCGGCCACGTCGGTGGGACGACGCAAAACGAATGCTAATGAAATATTAACGACACCCGTCACGTGCTGCGCTCGGCTGGACCGCACGGTTCCTCTCTTTCCTCTCCCTTTTTCTCTGTTTCTTCTCTTTCTTTCTCGCACGATCGTTCACTCTTCCGTCCCATGCTTCGCCCTCCACGCTCCTTCTCCCCCTTTTTTACTCGTCCCGTTTGTCTTTCTCCTGTTTTTTTTTATTTTGCGCCGTATAAGAACCCGTCCCCTCCCAAAGGATGCTCGTGCACGGGGCCGTTTTTTTTCACATCGATGCGCAACGCCGTTTCAGGCGCTCTATCAGCGCTGTGTGCAAATGACATGCCAAATTGTAATCACGCCAAGATTCAAGCGGCTTTACACCTCGCGTTTAGCGTTAACTGAAACCTGATTCTGACACTTTGTTTGTTACGGTCGAGCTTGCGCAGTTGCGCGAACAAGATCCTAGATCAAGTAACCGCGTTACATGGACCGACGCTCGATCCTGTTTACCAGCAGTTACGCGTTAAACAGAAGTTACTCCATTGGTTAACTATTCAATCGCGACGGTTTCACAATTGAATTTATCTTAATTTTTCAATTAAATTAACGATGACAATTCTAAGTGGTAAAAATATCGCGTGGAAAAAAATGCAATTGGATAGATAATTAGAAAGAACCTACATTTTCTGAAGAATTTTTTGAAATTTCTCAACGCAATTAAATGCGTTTCTTTACAATCTTAGAGAAACATTAGAATACCAAAAATAGTAGCAAATGAAGAAGAATAGTAGTATGTAACAATAAATATATTTGTTTAAAAATGTGTAAAAAGCCTTTTCTTTTTTTCTCGATGTAGTTTTTATTAAAATTATATATTTGTTAACAAAAATAAAACTTCCAACAGTATTATTCAAGGAATTAGCAGAAAAAAGAGATTTGTAAAAATTCATAAAAATAGGATATTGAAGACTGTGGGAGACATATATTACTAATTTACAACTTTCATTACTGCCATGATTAAGTTACAATTTAATATGAATTTATATAATATGAAAAAAGCTTTCCAACTTTACTATATTTATATTTTTATTGAAAATCTCTAGGTTTACAGAATATAATACCAGTATTGTTATTACACGTTAAATATTTAAAACAGTTGTAATGAGTGCAAATATTAAAGCATATTAAATAGATGTCACGATAAAAAATGTATTGCATAATACTTGGATGTGGCGCTTAAAAATATAATATAATGTAAAGCGAGAATAGCCCATTGCAACGTGTCACCAAGAATAGCCAACGGAATTAACACTATATGAACATTTATGTGTTTCAAATAAAAATTTAGAATATTTACACAAATCTCAATTATCGAAACAGTTGTAAGAAAGGGGTATATAGTTATATATATGTTAATCATTTGATTTATGTCTGGATTACCGCCGATAGGTGGCAAAAACTCGATTTACTTACGGCATAAGCGAACGGAACTGGGGTACAAGTGCATAACATCCGTTTTGTATATAAAAATGAATAGACACGACGTGTTGTGTAACCGAAACCGAGATCAGGCTATTCGTAACCACGCGCACGTGCAATACGGAAAAGGATTTTTCCATATAGGATGCGGGACGTGCGCGGCGCCGCGGCCGCCATGAATAGTGCCGTTGTAGCTACATGCAAATCCCGGTAAAACGGGAAAATAGTAAACAAGAAGAGAACGCACGCTATTCGGTATCAGAGTATTATAGTTGCCTTGTCGTTAGGTGAATCTCATGAACGCCGCAACTGACGTAAGCCGAATTCAGATAAAGCAGCTCACGAGCTCGCGTACAAAGCGCGAGATTAGTCGCCAACGTAAAACTTACTTTCTCGGAAACACGTAGATACAATGTACATACGCAGCGCATTGGCATCCTTATATAACCGGACTGATTTACTGATGAATTGCTTTGAATATGATAACATTTATGAGAATTAGTATCCGACAATTGTCAATGCGAATTTATGAATAAGTCTCCAAGCTTCAAGTGGAAGAATTAAAGAGATTAGTTAACAATTACAGTTGTAGAATTTTTTTTGCAACATGGAAAAAAAAGATTAGCATTACAGCATTTAGGGATAATTAACATTTTTTGCAGCGAGAGCTACAATTTAGCAATAGTAGCAAAACTTTTTGTTGAGTTTAGCTTTTTCTGCAAAAAAATGTTAGCTATCCCTATTTTACAACTAAATTTGCTAAAGTAGTTAATCTTTTCTTTCTGTGAAAATTAATAAATACACGCGTGATATATAAATACATTAGAATGGTGTCAAACAATTATTCTTATTTAATTGAATAATTTTCTTTTGTTCACGCAATAACTTCTTAAATAGTTCTGTAAGATAAATTACCTTTTATTCAAGGTAACATAATCGAGGCTCATTTCCACTTACCATTTTGAGTAATCTCATGCTATTGCATTTCGCTCATAATCGAGGAAACTACTGAATGAAGGACGATCTTTACCTCTTGTCCTATAATTATTCTTGTCAATGACGTAGTGGCGGGTGAACCGTTTTAGCGGTGTTTCCGACGGGATGCACGCCGATCAAGGGACCTCTGTCACAACGTCAAGCGCGACAGCTTAACGAAAAGAAGAACGAAGAGAGTGAAAGCTTTATTTATATCCGTGACATTCTGTTTATTTTGGCTGACAGACTAGGCTCGCTCCGGGCTCTAGCTAGTAACGGGCTCTAGCTGATCCCTTCCTTGCGAATCCCATTTTGTCCCGACATTGTTTCAGTCCGATTACATCACGTCTTCTTACCAAACACAAGCCTCGAAATTGAATTAGATGTCGATTTCTTCATGGAAAACGATTACCGCGCGCTAATGGTCGCACATTACGCGATATCTGTCTGCAATTCAATCTTTTCTTTCTTCAGTCTATTCCTCTATCTTGAACTTGATACCGGTCAACGCACGTTCTATCTTCACGTTCTGCTATCAGTTGATGTGCCTGCCTATATAAACTTTACGAGGAATAAAATCAGCGTTTCGTTTATCAATACCAGCGAAAGACAAATGACATTATTCTTCTATTCTTCTAAAGAATAGAAATTAAAGAACTTATATACAATAACTACTGAACTCTGAATTTATTTGATGCAATTAAGTCAACAAAGTTTAAAAAATGTTGTAAAATTATTATTTATTTTATCTATTGTAGAATTTTTAATTAAAGGCATGTAATTTTGTTTCTAGAAGAGATTTTGGTTTAACAATTTAAAGATTTCTAAAAAGAGAAAAGTTTTAATTGAATAAGTTTAAATTTGATATTATTATAGGATGTTATTTTGACAGTTTATTTTTAATCTTCCTGCATTTCGATT